ATATATATCGGGAGGTACCGCTAAATGGTGGCTATACGAAGACGTGGACCTGCACAGACAATTTTCTGTCATAGGCTGTAGTATCCATTATGAACCTCAAATACTAAATTTGAAATAATTGCGTTGAATAATGTCGCTAAAATCATGAAAATACCGAATATCGGGAGGTACCGTTATATGGTGGCTATACGAAGACGTAGGGTGCAGTATCCGATACGAACTAGAAATACCAAATTTGAAACAATTCCGGCTAATAATGTCGCTGAAATCATTAAAATAACGCATATCTGGAGTTACCGTTATATGGGGGCTATACGAATACGTGGACCTGAATAGAAAATTTTCTGTCTTAGGCTGTATTATCCATTATGAACCTCAAATACTAAATTTGAAATAATTGCGTTGAATAATGTCGCTAAAATCATGAAAATACCGAATATCGGGAGGTACCGTTATATGGTGGCTATACGAAGACGTAGGGTGCAGTATCCGATACGAACTAGAAATACCAAATTTGAAACAATTCCGGTGAATAATGTCGTTAAAATAATTAAAATACCGCATATCTGGAGATATCTTTATATGAGGGTTGGTAAACGAATACGTGGACCTGAATAAACAATTTTCTGTCGTAGGCTGTAGTATCCATTACGAACTTCGAATACCAAATTTGAAACAATTCCGGTGAATAATGTCGCTAAAATCATCAAAATACCCAATATCGGGAGGTATCGTTATATGGGGGCTATACGAAGACGTGGACCTACACACACAATTTTGTGTCATAGGCTGTTATTACAAACATCAAATACCAAATTTGAAAAAAACAAAAAACTTTAAAAGTCTTGACATATCAATGTTCCCATATCATGGTTGTAAGTCAACATTTATATCAAAGTTTAGGTTTTTTCAAAGAGAAAACTTAACTTTACATCTTATATTAGGTTTTTAAAAATACGCATTATACACTAATGCTACTGGCCAGCAACGCGGTCCGGGTCAGCTAGTATATATATAAAAATCAAATGTTGTTCGTTGGTAATGGAATCAGTTGAGAACGGCTGAACCGATTTGCATATTTTTGGTACAAACGTTCGTCATACACCGAGTTAGGTTTTTAAAGAAAAAATGTTGACCACACCAACTTTTACGCGAACTATTTCGATTTATCTAAAATCCTTATATTTGCCAAATAATGAAGATATCTGTTTGAAAATTGTTATTTTGGGGGCTGAGGAACTGACCACGCCTACTTTTTAATCTGTATATATACAGATTGTTGTTCGTTGGTAATTGAATCAATTGAGAACGGCTGAAACGATTTGAATGATCATTTTTTTAATATTCGTTTTTATGCAAAAAAAGGGACCACACCCAATTTTACGCCCATTTTTTCGATTTACCTAAAATCCTAATATCTGCCAAAATCATGAAGATATCTCAGTTTCACAGTTAGTATACGACGTAATCTGGACTCTCTCTCCAACCCTGCGTATCTGTTTGGTGTCAGAGGAACTGACCACACCTACTACTATTAACACATAACACGTTGAGAAAAGCTGGGCCGATTTGACTCAAATTTTCTGTAGGTTATTTGAAATTATATCGGAAACCTTTTTATGGAAAAAAATTTTGAGAAAAGCCTCTAAAAAACTCGCGGAACTAAAAAAATTGACTGTTCTATTTTTAGATTTTTTTCAGAATGCCTTTGGAATTGAAAATTCTTATTGAAAAAAAAATCCGAAAAAATCGGGAAATTTTGCACATTTGCTATACATGCCGTTATATGGTTGTCATATCATATATTTTGATTAAGAAATACTTCTCAAAGCATCAAAACATTTAAAATCTCAACGTACTTTTGAATTAAGGCTATGCGTAATGGAGAACCAATAATAAACAGTTATTGCCGGTATTGATTTCACAATACAACGCGGACTGGGCCAGCTAGTATATATATATATATATATATATATATATATATATATATATATATATATATATATATATATATATATATATATATATATATATATATATATATATATATATATATATATATATATATATACTAGCTGGCCCGGTCCGCGTTGCCGGCCCGTACTTTTAGTCTTTAAAGCATAATAAATCACAGATCTGACTTATGTAGGCGGAACAATTTTGATTATAAGTAATGACTCCATTATAATTACTCCAGTTTTGATTTTAAGTAATGACTTGATTATGAGTAATGATTCCATGACTAAATATAAATTAATATTCATGGCAAAAATGGCAGAATAGCCTGATTTTATTTTTCAGCTATAGGCTTTAATTTGAGTGTTAAATACCTATATGATAAAGAACATCTATAATAGCCCCATGTGAAAATTCAGCTCAATTTTTGATATTGTAAAAATTGAATGCTTTAGCTATAATTTGAAATTTGTATTTCCAACGTTTAAAATCCCGTACTGCGTGGTATTCAGTTTGGTCCACCTCATACTTGAAGGCAGAATGTTGTCAGAATAGCCAAAAGAATTACCATTTGCTCCGATTACCGTAAGATGGGCATTAACTGTTTGTCATTTAAATTGTGCGGTGGAGATCCAATAAAGTTACTTTATAATTTCGTATTTTGTTGTTTCTGCCACAATTTCCGACTGAATGAGTCCCAGATTGACATTTCGGAGTTTATTTCATATAGACGTACATACCAAATCTACATTCCCAACCAATATTCTCTTGGGGGTTACAAATTCAATAGAATACCAAATTTTCTTTTCTGACCACACATTGGTTGGGAAAGTGGACTTGGGATATACTAATGTGGGGACTATACTTAAATAAATTCCTATGTGGATAATTATTTGTAAGATGATTTTCTACCCCAGGGTTTTTTACCCCAGGTAGCCTCAAGACTAAGATGCGCCCTTTTCCGAAAAATAAAAATTTTATAAGAGGTTTTCTTCCCCCTTAGAAACAAAGATGTCAAATAAGAGCCAAAAAATGAAAAAAGTGGCCAAGACCCCGAAAGTACCTTAAATCATATGATGGTGATACCAAAACGTGATAATTTTTTGCAAAGATGGTTTCTTCTTAAATTATCAACATAAGCTAAAATTAGTACGAAAAATATGGTTAAAATGTAGAATATACTTGAAATCGGGTTGTTCCGTTATCAGGGGTTATGATCCATATTATGACCTGCCAAGGCGATTTAAGGTATCTTGAATGTTTAGGTAGAATTTCTATTTTGCGTTCTATATAGTCGGTATTTGACTGATTGCAGTCCCAATGTATTTTGCATTTTGTGTTTTCATTTGACAATTTATTGTCATATGAAAGAAGCAGGTCCACTTTTTGAAATTAACCCCATAACGCTTCTTCGGTCATTTTTGTTTGTTTAAATGTGTTCGCATCTTCCAGCTGAAGCACGATGTAGGTCCTGGAGTAGAAGGCATTTAACATCGTATTGCGCTCTCATTTCATTTTTATATTATTCATTCAGAATTCAAACCAATAAAAAAATGTACACTTCAATATAGAAAAAAGAAAAAGAATCTTCAACTGGTTCGCTGATTTTTTTGCGGCAAATTTTTAAAGGTGATTACTAAGTTTGTCGGTAGAATGTACTATTATTTTGAAATTCGAGTCCATTGAAAAATTGTCGATTTTTCCCGATTCTAGAATTTTCGTAAAAAGCGACAACGGATAAAATTGTTATTTATAGATTTTATGTATTTTTTTGGGTATTACGAATAAATACATAAAATCTATTAATAACAGTTTTATCCGTTGTGGCTTTATATTACCCCAAAAAAAACCTACACATCATATTAGAATTCAAAAAAAAAAAAAAAAAAACACTACAAATGTACATTCGAAAATAGTAAGTCAAAATGGAAAAAAATATGCAATATAAAACATTACTATTGTACATTTTAAAAGTCAAAATGAAAATGTTCAAATTTCACATTTTTACGCGATTTTTTTGGATTTTATTCTTTTCTGCCAAGAGGCAATTCCGAATTTGTCTAAATCGTTAAAATCAGACCTGCGGTCTTTATGTTATAAGAGTAGTAACTAACACAACTTTCTTTTACATACAAAGAGATAGATTTAAAAGTAGGCGCGTTCCTCAGCCCCTAAATAAGTACTTAGGGTTGGATGGAAAGCCAACAGCATCTCGTGTAATAATTCTCAAACCGATATCTTCACTATTTTGGCAAATATAAAGATTTCAGATAAATCGTAATAGTGGGCGTAAAAGGAGGCGTGGTCAATATTTTTTTCTTCAAAAACCTAACTCGGGATATGACGAACGTTTGTACAAAAAATTATGCAAATCGGTCCAGCCGTTTTCAACTAATTCCGTTACCAACAAACAACAATTGATTTTTATATATATAGATATATATATATTATTGACGAGTTTAGGTACAATACCCACCGAAATTGCAATTTTCTGTTTCTGTGGTTCCTATTACGAAATCTAAATACGTAATTTGAAACAATTCCGGTGAATAATGACGCTAACATCATCAAAATACCGAATTTTGGGAGGTACCGTTATATGGGGGCTATACGAAGACGTGGACCTGCACCGACAAATTTCTGCCTTATGCTGTAGTATTCATTACGAACTTCAAATACCAAATTTAAAACAATTCCGGTGAATAATGTCGCTAAAATCATTAAAATACCGAATATCGGGAGGTATCGTTATATGGGGGCTATATGAAAACGTGGACCTACCTGACCCATTTACGAACTTAACTTGCCTACTGGAAAAATAAACACGTGTGCCTTCTACCTCAATTTGTTCGAAAGATAGCGTGATTACAACAGAGAGACGGACAGACAGGCAGACAGACGGACATGCCCAAATCGATTTAGAATTTTATGCTGATCAAGAATATATATACTTTGTTGGGTCTGACATGAGTATTTCGAGGAATTACAAACGGAAAGTTAATATTCCCACCATAGTATGGTGGAGGGTATAAAAAACAACAAAATTGTTGGGGATGCTCAGCTATTGTTTTTTTTTTATTATTATTTCTTATAAGTATATTAAATCACAGATGTATTGTTATGATCATCGCCATCTGAATGTTCAGACACCGCAGACGAGCTTACACCTGGTGGCTCTGCATTGAGCACCAAATTTTCAATAGAACGAAATACCATTTGGTTAAGTGGGTGTGTGTCATGTGATGTTCTGTTTCGTATTCTTGTGGAGGATCTAAGAACGGTTATGACGTCCTCTGCTGTATACGGTCTTGATAATCGAGTTGTACCACTACCGGCATCACCATCTAAGATTATCTCTCGGGGAGCAGAAGAAGGTCGGTTTGAGACATTTTTTTGCATTAACGGGTGCTTCTTTAGCATCTGCTTACGTCCTAAAGATAAACATCGGCTATGTACCAGATTTGTTGGCGGTCGGTTACCAATCTCAATAGTTTCACTTATACTCGGCGCAACTTCGTTCAAACCCGAAAGATTAGGAAGAACTGAAGAATAATCAGGTGGAAATGATGTGCTTTCATTATTATGTTCTAATTGAATAGACAATATCGGCCTTGACCTACCCGAGTCTCCTAGCAATCTAAAATAATAAATAATAAAAAATTGTTAACTCTTCTGCGGGTATATTTATATTACATCAAACCTTCTAACGCTGCGCCTTATGCTTTGACGTAAAATTTTAGCTAATCTAGCTCCAGTTGCAGTAGTATATGATGGAGGAGGTGTATATTTCGGCGGAGCATCATCATGTAAATTACTAACGCCATTTTCAGCACTGTTTCCGATTCCTGACTGTCTGTAACGGCCTTCTATATTATCCCTTTGAGTTCTGTTTATTAATCGTGTTGCAATTGAGCCTTCCAGAGGTCGATATAGCATTTGAATTCTCTACGAAAAAATCAATAAGTTAGAACTTGTTCTTTTTTTTTTTTTTTTTTCTTTAAAATATTACATCTAAAATATCGGGTGGGCCAGAGGTAAGATAACGATAAATCTGTATGATGGCGGTTATTGGCACCAGAAGCATAAAGCCAATCTGTGTTAATGCTCCCACTTTCCTTGCCCAGTAGGTGTAGTACGATCGTCCTCGCCAATAGTATAATTGACTTGACAATGATGTTTTGTACTCAATGACGGCCAATGTGATAAGGCTGATAGGCAATAAAACATTCCAGGATAATGCCAAGAATGCAGACATAGAACCCGACATTTTCAAATCGTTTACAAGATCGTCTCCATTATATGGACGACCTCGGATTAGAAATACGCCAAAAATCTCCGCTGCCCATAATATCGGTATGAACCAAGCCCCACCTATCAAACTATCTATGTAATGGAGCAAAGTGATTCCGACTTCAGTTGCAAATGGTATGCTTAACAATAGACCAGTTACACAACTGAGTAAAACGGCGCTTGTCGAATTGCCTAAAGCACTCGATATAGGTTTCCACATAACACATAGCTGTGCAACTCCAAATACAAACATCATACTAAATGTAACAGATCCCCAAATCCACGACACATCATCGCCAGCAATAAGTAGCACTGCAGGAAATAATTCAGAAATAAAACGAAGCACTTGGTAACCGCTGGAAATCTTCAGGTCTGTGTGGCGTCTATATACTTCTCCAATCAAACTGGAATAGTGAGGCACGAGTTTAGTGGGATATGATATTATATCTGAACTGGGAGACGATTTTAAGGAATATACTGATGAATATGTCCCCGGCTTCTCTGAAAAAGATAAATTAAAGAATATCATTTGGTATATCTCATGAACGTATTGTGATGGTACGTACCATAGGAGCCAGGAACATATACATAACCAGACTGGTTTAAGATTTGGATGCAGGACAATCCCATTAAGGCTGATAAAAACAGACCAATTAGCGTCACTAAAACAACAAGAATGGCATCTCTTCGAAGTGTTTTTTTAGATTGTGATTTGTGTGTTCGGCTCGAAATTGCTATTACAGAAGCGCCAAGAAGACCCCAAGTTAAAAAGGTTTCTTGGGCAGCAGCTGTCCATGTCTTCGAATTAATTAGAAAATCATCCAATTCGGAAGAACTAAACACATTCTAAACACATAAACAGAAAAGTTTGTTACTACGAAATATAGTTACAATAAGTATTGGCTAGAATTTTACATACCTGCAATTTTGCAAGATCTACTACACAAAGCAATTTTCCAGTGATCACCACAAGCACCAAAAGGGGTAACATTCCAACAATGAAAATTACCTTTCCAAATGATCTAAGTCCCTTGCACAGTATTAAAAATACGGCTGCCCACAATATTGCCAAATAGAACGCCAGCTGCTTAAATAGCACAGAAACAAAAGATTTAAAACATATGAAACTCGTCTCGTCTTATATACTTACACGATCATTGATGTGAATACGAATGCCCGAGTTATTAACTAGTTTAAGAATCTGCAGTCTTTGAAGAACATTTATATTAAAGTAGTCTGGAATACTTTCAGTAAGATTAAAGTTGTTGTACGAATAATTTCTAGGAATAAGCATGTGATTCGTTTCGGCCCATCGATAGGATGATTGGTAAAGAATAGTGTCGCTTAAATACACTAGTAGCCAAACAACGACTACAGATGAGTATATTGTAATGAAATATTGCACAATTATCAGTGAAATTCCAATGCCGCTGCATATAGGACTGATTTTCCACATCGACACTGGACCTTCTCTTATTTTGACCCCCAAACACATTTGCAACCAAAGAAAGGGGACTCCGAAAATAATAGAAAACAATAGGAACTGAATGAGAAAATTTGGTCCATAATTTATGGTCAGAACTGCAAACCGGCAAATATTAAATAGACCTAGTGTACACGATATAAGGGCTAAAGTCCGACTATAACTATGCGGCCAATGTGTGTTGAAGCCCGGCTTTTGAGTCGTATCAACATTATCCGAATCATGGGATGAATTTATATTGTGCTGCGCATTATCTTCGTTTATAACGAGGTTTGATTCAATAATATTATGTGATGTTGTTGACGATTCGCTAGAATCAGAACTGGATGCGATTGTCACCGGGCTTACTGTACGGGTAGATCGTCCAGTGCTGCCATCAGATCCAGCATATGCTCTAGAACTACGTAATAATTGTTCCGAATGAACCATTTGTATTGAAGCTGATGCAGGTGCACTCATAGGCCTAACGTTAATAGAGGCCGTAGCAGAAATATTGGCAGCACTATTCGATTCGGGCATGGAAGCATGTGAATTTCTTTCTGCTCGCCTACCGTATTGTCGTGGTCTACACTCTTCTTCGCCACGATTCCCATTCTGTTCAATTAAATTTTGAAATATTTGTTCTTCGGTTAAAATCTGATTCTCGCACACCCTATTTTCATTACATAAAACATTATCCTCTAAATTTTCAAAGTTATGCGATTCTACTTCTTCTACTGGATAGACTTGTTTCATCTGTTTAGTTTCTTTTGCCACGACATCAGAGTGATACCGATCAGTGTACCTCAAGCTGGCGTAGGCAGGTTTCGACATTTTTAAAATTGAATCTGAAATAAAATATTTTTAATTTTAAGAATTATTTTTTCGTACACCCCACAGATAAGTTTAGCATCAAATGCTTACCAGTTGATCTTCGCTCAGGTCCACATCCAACGGTCTTCCTTAGATAGTTACTTCGCTGAAAATTAGGCAGCGTACTACTTCTTGCTGCATCTAGACTTGAAGTGTTTTTATTTGTTTCCGCAATGTTGCAATGTAATGCGCTTTCTTCCATTTTATTAAGATAGTCATCCAAATCTAATAAGCAATCTTCTATGTTGGCTTGATCGGGTTCCGATTCTGTCAGGCTAGAGGAGCAGTTCGAATCGAATTGGGAAACATCGTGTATATCGAGAACTGCATCAAGTTCTCGTAGAGCATCGTAGGCTTCTTCGTTGTGAAATACTGCCTTCTCACTGAATTGACAGTCAGCCATGTAAAAAGGATTTTCCTCAGACTTTTTTCGCCTGTTAAAGAAATTCCCATCCATAAATGAACTTTTGATTGCTGGAGTGCACTTTTGGAAGTTCCCCGGAGTATTTTGAACTTCGATTAGATCATTGTCGCTTAAATCGTCAACGTAACCGCATGCCTTGCGAATAGATTCCCTCGATAAGTTATCCGACAGAGACCCACTTAATGGGGTTCCATTAAATTCACTTGTATTGGTACGTATATTGTTCTCATTTGTACGCCTCTTCCTTCTCCTTCTACCAGTACAATACCCAAGAGCCGAGGATGAGTTCAACAATAGATTATTGGTTTTGCTAATATCGTCCATTGATAAAGTCGAGTATGATCTTTGATCAATTCGATCTTTATTTTCAGCGTTATCATAGCCATTGGAGCAATCTTCAGAGAATGATTTTTTTAAACTCATTTCAAGCGAACTAAAAGAAAAGAAGAACACCAAGATGTTACTGTATAATTTAACGAATCATGACATTCTGATTTAAATATGTGAGTAAGTACATTTTGAAGTCAACTCGTGCTATGTATGTATCCAAGCCTAAAACAACAACAAAACCGTTGTCTAGTTTTTTAGATTTTCAAAGCGATATAAGTTCTATTGAATAAGATTATCCATGAGTCGAGTTTAGTCCTTACTATCAAAAGATTTTGTTTCAAGAAATGCATAAAAATCCACGGAAAATATGAATTTAATTTTACATCAATTATATTTTGCATGCTATAATAATAACAAGTTAGAGTATATTGATTAACTATGAAAAACTAGAGTTTTGTAATTTAAAATTTTCTATTTCAAATGCAACATGTCGTTTTTGTAAGTTGGCACTTTTTTCACAGTATTTGAATTTGATTAGGGGTTTTCATCTCAAAACTGCAATTGTAATTTTAATTTCAACAGAATTTGAGATTTTCAAAACAAATACATACATATATGGTTATGATGGTAGCCTTGTAATGTCATAAAACATACACGCAGTTTGTCGACGAAGCGACACAAATATACAGATTCCCAACTATGGTAAATTGTTTTGTATTGCCAAAATACGCCAGGTCCATCTCTTAGAATTTGCCAAATTAAATTGTTGGTTAATTCAATACTTTTTTTAATTTCACCCATTTATAATACTTTCCACTTACAAACATTCAAATATTCGTTTCTATTTTCAACATATATAAAAAGGAATTGTTCAAAATACACCTAGGTTGGTACGTATTTCGAACAATTCATCAAAGCTGCAGCTGCTTGCAATATACAGTAGACCACGCATATATATTTTTATGCGAACGTTTTTATATTAGAAATTACCCAACAAGCCAAAAATATGCCGCAAATAGCTTAGAAGTCACACCTAAGCTATAGAAATCATCGCTCTTGATATCGCTTTCTCGGCCCGGAAGGAGCATCCTTTAAACATGACTAAATAGCGCATACAGCGTTACTTCTAATAATCGTGGAAGTCACTTCCTCGACAGTTATTGGAAGTGATTTTTTTTATTATTTTTTTACATTTCCAATGTACACTTTCATAGAACTTTTAGTTATTAGCTGAAATACTCACACATTTCTTTTTCGTTTGAAAAATGTGATGTCTGTCTTGGGATTCGGTCCCGGGTGTTCAGAGAGCAAAGCGGGCATGCTTACCACTGCGCCACAGTGTCTTATATTACTCAGATAAAATTAGGTCTTATTTATGCTTGCTGGGTAGTATCAAATATGCGTGTTTACAGGTGCACCAGGAAATGGATTATGCAGTACGAATGTATGTACGACCAATAGCTTGTGTTTGATGGCATATTAGTATTAATATACATTTTACATGCATGTATGTGTTTTGCTAGCCTTGTTCTCCAATTTAAGTGTTGCCTATATTCTTATACAAAATTTCCCTGGTATAATTTAGGCGTGGAAAATATGATAAATGACATGGTGTTTTGAAAAAGTTTCGTAAATTTTTTTTCTGTACATTTACATGGTCTATTGTATCTGCTGGTTGAATACCATTAATAAGACCAAATTAACCAGCAGAGGCAGTCGGACTAACAAACGGGCGAGATGAGGTTCGCCGTACTAACCCTAATAGTCCCCGAGTCGGGGTACTAGTTAGCGAGCATAATCAGATAAAGTGGCTTGAACATCTGAACATCTAAATAAATAAAATGGTAAGGTAGAACTACCAGCTGATTACATTTTTTTTAAGTCTGCCCGACTTCTGCCAATTTTGTGTATGTATTTATTGTGTTGAAAAACAAAAACCAAATATTTTCAAAATCAATGATTGGAAAAAATGCACATTGCAGGGCGCACGTTAAAGGTAATAACCATTTTGACATGCAGTTGGAAGATTGATCAATGTAGATCAAATGTTTGAAAGAAAATCCAGGCATTTCATTCATCTTCCGCGCCTTTTAAACAATATTCATAGTAATGAAAAATATTAAATTAATTAGAACCCCCTGTTGCATCTACTTTTGAATAATTCTGACAGAAAGCGGGCATAGCCTTAGGAGTGTGTTTCTTACTTTACTTTTACGAAGCTGTTCTACCTTCTTATTGTACCATGATCAGTACCGGGTCGAGAAAATTGTGGACAGGCGTTATGTCGCTCTCGAACCCTGTCTCATTTAACGGCGTAGAAGTGACAGATCCGAAGTTATTTTACGCCGTGTACGTTCTCTCACAGCCAAGGAGGTAACACCACAATTTGTTTAGAAGGTGTTGCACATATCATCAGAATTGCAAAGTATTCCAAAGCTGTTGGTCCTGGCTGATTTTCTATAGTTAGTATAGTGTAGAAGCAACTGGATGAACGATGAATTGAGTATCTAACCTGCCTTCTCAACCAGTCGTTAGCTACTCTAATAGTTTCCCGTTCCTGGATATGTTCATGGTAGACGCCAGCAAAGTGATTTATACAGGCCGATATCACTATTGTGGCCATTAGCAAAGACGCTTGAGGCATTACTCCTTCCCATGATAAGAAGAAAGGAAATTGCATAGCACAACAACAGCTACATGCAATTCCACACGTTTTAGGACGGGACTCAACTAAAACAGGTCGTGCTATAATACATTTATAATGGCTCTTGGTTTATCAAAAGCTACGTGGAGCTCAAAAATAAGTAATGTGGAAAAAAGAGTACCCTAGGTGTGGTGATATCACGAATCTACGTTTCTGGAGTACTACCTACTTCAGACGGCATTGAGTTAATAACGTACGCGGATAACTATACGCCCTTTTCATTGCGAGGAATATTAAAATATCCGCCATAAAATCGAAGGTCACTCTTTTCTCCATATGTACAAAAGAGATAAGAATATCACTGAATGTACAGGCCGATTGTGTTTTAATTCCGAACACTAATTACCCTAAAGTCTAAGGGGTCACATTCGCTGCCCTCCTTAAGTCGTACGTGCATACCACAGCTATATGCAACAATATTAGAAGTAGAAACAAAGTTCTCAAGTCTCTGGCAGCAGTTGGGGAACGGATAAAGAAACCTTGTTGACCTCTTACAACGCGATAGATCGGTTTGTGGTAAATTATGAGGCTTCTCCGTGTTCCGCCAACGTAAGTGCTACGTAATACAGGTGGCTTCCTTTCTCAACTTTCAGTTAGAAGCAAAGCCATATTGAGAAGATATCTTCAGAACGAACACAGCAATACGAGCCGTACAACAACAACAAACCTATAATAAGATTGTACATATTTCTAGTTGCGGGTACCAAAAAGAGCATAAAATCAAAAAGAGAACGTTTTGTCCGAATTCAAAATGTTGTGAGTCGTGCCGAAAAGCATAATCTTAGTTGTTTTTTCCATGGCTCAATAAGAAAGGTAGCTCATCTTCAAAGAAACTAGAAAAATGCAACTCTGTGCTGGAGTCTTATAGTGTCAAATAGACTTTTAAATGTGCAACAGTTGGTTTTGTTTATTTTTCGTTTTTTGAACGAAATTCTTATATCAGGGAAAACCCGAGAAACAAGAATGGAATTTCGGGGTTATTCCACAAGATTGAATCTAAAATAATAGGACAGTACAGTTGTATCCCAAAATTTTACAATGCGTTGCCCATCAACGTCGAAAATATGCATTTATTATGCAACCGAATTTGAAATATTTTCAAATTATTGTACCATTTATAAAAAATAATACACACACATGCACAAAATGTGTAGATGTGTGACAGAATATGGGCACCAAAAGAAAAAAATGGTATTTAGGAGGTAACTTGTTCTACCTTCTGTATTTGTGCTATGGTTTCTTCTGTTTCGTATCGACTATTATTGTTATCGTGGTTCAATAAGGAGGTAGCTTTGTAAACCTACTAAAATACAGCCCTGAGGCTATAATAATTATATGTGCCGATTCGCAACTCGACTCGAGTTTTAGATCTGGGACTTACAACTTATTCCCAAAAGTTTTAATTTCGAAATGGTGGATGGCATTTGAAATTCGGCACTGTCGAACTTTACTGCTTTTTACTTGTTATACTGAAACCTATTTTTGATTTCATGATTTTCAAAGGTGTATATCTCTAGAAATCCAAACTGAAAGAATTATTCTACCCTACAATTAATTAAGATTGAATCTAAAATAATAGGACAGTACAGTTGTATCCCAAAATTTTACAATGCGTTGCCCATCAACGTCGAAAATATGCATTTATTATGCAACCGAATTTGAAATATTTTCAAATTATTGTACCATTTATAAAAAATAATACACACACATGCACAAAATGTGTAGATGTGTGACAGAATATGGGCACCAAAAGAAAAAAATGGTATTTAGGAGGTAACTTGTTCTACCTTCTGTATTTGTGCTATGGTTTCTTCTGTTTCGTATCGACTATTATTGTTATCGTGGTTCAATAAGGAGGTAGCTTTGTAAACCTACTAAAATACAGCCCTGAGGCTATAATAATTATATGTGCCGATTCGCAACTCGACTCGAGTTTTAGATCTGGGACTTACAACTTATTCCCAAAAGTTTTAATTTCGAAATGGTGGATGGCATTTGAAATTCGGCACTGTCGAACTTTACTGCTTTTTACTTGTTATACTGAAACCTATTTTTGATTTCATGATTTTCAAAGGTGTATATCTCTAGAAATCCAAACTGAAAGAATTATTCTACCCTACAATTAATTAGATATATACCTTCATGTCAATGTAATGCATTTTTTTTTTTTTTTTTTTTTTTTGAAAAACATTTGTCACTAGTTAAATAATATGACCTCTTGGACAATTAACGAAGCATTTGTATTTACAGATGTAAATAGGTAGCGAAACGTGCGAAAGAGTTGTAAGTGTGAAATCTAACATGTATGTGGATAAAATTGCATATTTCCGAGAGATATAACAACATTTACATTTGCGCCAAAATACATATATTTTTGACTGTTACGTCATATTTATTTCATTAAAATGGGAAAACCGGAACATGTTGTTTAAACGAGCCTCAACAAATATTGCGCACTCTTTTACTACTTTTAACGTGACAAATTTGATAGTCTTGCTGATTATCTGAAGGTGGTTTGGCATTTTCTGGAAGAACTACAACTCTAAAGGCGGCTTAAGTCATGGCTTCTTCATAAAACAACAAAGGAGCGTAGGGTTAACAAGTATAATTATGGACCGTAATTGAACTAAGTCAACCTAAAGAACCTTTGTTCTTTTACGAAGAAGCCGGCCGATGACTTAAGCCAGTAAAAAAAGCGTTTTATGTGTTCTCACCCAAGGGCCGTTCTAATAGCCTAGATTTGTTATCCCTTACTTTAGGAAAAGTAAAGGATAAAGTTTAAATTATAGGGTTTTCATTATTACATCTTGGTGGCTTTTCATAAAACAGTGGCATTTTCATATAAACTGTCCAAAAAGCTAAAGAACAGACATTTTCCACTTTATCTTTTATTTTGAGTGGCAATTAGAGAATTCGAGGTAGAAACATAAAATAAAAAGATAAAATTATATCCCAATCTAAACCGATTTCAATATAATTTGACAAAATTTGCTGTTAGACCAAATTTCGTTACACCCACCATATTTCGTTACACCTCCATCATTGAAATTGGTACGTAAAATACGTGAAATCGGCCAAAAATTTATATATGGGAGCTATATCCAAATCTTAACCGATTTCCAATTAATTTGTAAAATTTATTATTGTAACCAAATTCCGCTACACATTCTGAAGTTCATTATAATTTTTTTTTTGTTTGTATTTTATGGACTCGAAAATCGCAGAACAGATTTTCCTGAATTTTTTTTTTTTGAAATTTTTTTAAAATTATATATATATATATATATATATATATATATATATATATATATATGTATATGTATATATATATATATATATATATATATATATATTTCTATTTTAATGAAATTAAGCTCGGTGATACAGTTCATGTTCCAAGGTAAAGAAAAATAGTAATTTTTTGTTTATACTTATTGACAAAATAAAAAACTCTTTCGTATAATATTTTTCAAATCGGGCCTAAGTAATAACATAAACGTTCATCCATTTGTATTTACTGTTTGAGCAAGATAAACTCAAATAAATAAATGTGCGTGAAGATAAAAACGAGTTTAATTAGCGAAGACAAAGCTTAGGATGAATATACATAAAACTCTTATTTGACTGGCCTAAGTCATCGGCTGGCTTCTTTGGAAAAGAACAAAGGAGCATAGACCCAAAATCGAACAGAGTCAACCTAAAACTACTTTGTTCCTTTACGAAGAAGCCAGCCGACGACCTAAGCCAGTCAAAAAAGCGTTTTATGTATTCCCACCTTTAGCCTAGATACACTTTCTCACTTATTGGAATATAATTTTTCTCTTTTTTACCACCCATGTGGCCAAGTAATAGCGTTTTGGAAACCTCTTAGAACGTCCATTCCTGGAGTACCATTCATATGCATGCACTATTTTTTGGTGCCGGACATTGGGTTATGTAATTTTCTCCTCTGGAAAACAATCGATGTGAAAGGTTTTATGAAATATTTTTTGAAGTAGTTTTTTTATTTTTTTTTTATTCTTATATTTATATTCCTTATCGGCGACAAAAATTTAGTAACCACAAATTTAAAAAATCCGTATTTATTTTCCGGATATCTGTTATACACTGTTATACAGTAGAATGTGTGTCTATGTTAAGCGTTGTCTTCGCTAAGTAAAATCGATTTTATCTTCATGCACATTATAAATAAAAACCCCAATTAAAGACAAAATATTAAATCTATTGAAAAACGAAGTGGTACAGCGACTGGCTTTTTTTGAATGCAAAATTTTGCTGGGAAATATTCGAAAGTATATAACGACATTACCATACGGATTGTTTGCCAGCTCTAATGCCGATCTACCTACATCGAAAAATATAAGTGTGTTAATTTTCCGAGAGGTCATATTACTTAACTGATGTCAATTGTTATTCGAATATTCGAATAAATTGTGTGTTGAAAGTGTTGATGATCATTTATACACATATACATTGGCATGTGGGTAGGTAAATGTATGGTACAATAAGTCTTCCAATTTGGATTTCCCAGGATAAATACCCATAAAAATGTAAGTTAAAAACACTATAAAAATACCGTTGCATGTTAATCTTTCAAATTTCACTTCAACGGCGAACTAGAACAGGTAAAAATTATGTCTCCTGCTACGAAACTGCCGTTCTCATACAAACTACCATATCGAGCTGCGTATAGAAAGAGTAGCGCGGGGCATGAGAGCATGCAGTTTGCCTGCACTACAGATGGAAATTCAGATGTGACCAAACAAGTTATACAAATGTCATGTTGCATGGCAATGACAGAGATGACCATGTAGGAACTCAATACACATTACCATTGACTGTTCACAAATATATATATATATATATATATATATATATATATATATATATATATATATATATATATATATATATATATATTTGTTGGTACATAAATACTTCATACATCAGCACTATTGTGGGTCCACTCGCGATATAGAAATCTAGATTCCGACTACACAGACTCCTCATTTTTAAAATCTGGCTTCTGATTACACGCACATGTACTTAAAGTCATACACCGTCGTAATGAACTACTAATATTGAATACAATTTCAACAGCCGCGATGAAATAAGTTGATCTTAATGGAAAACATTTTGACGATGATGTCTCACTCAGTGTTCATTTATTTTGGATTTCATTATTTGCTGGATTTTCTGTTTCTCTGTATTGTTATAGAAACCAAATTCTTAGCACACACGCAGCCTAACGTATATACATACTTGTTTACACACATACATATTTCGAGTGAACACATTCATGGATCGTATCCATGGCAATGGGCATATTTCGATTGAATGTAAAATAATATAGAGGTCTTATGAATTTCTAAAGCAGATGAGATGCCGAAAACAATTCTAAGACGTCCGGTTACATAAAAGTATACCTATAGAATTCAGAAACTTCGATGTCTCGAACTGATCGTATTCACATACCTCTAAAAACGGCGGAGGTTTTTTGTTCACAAAATTAAAATGCTTTATTTTGTTTGGAGCAAACGGGGCACTGCACATTTACACACCCATACATAAGTTTGTATGTAATTTTACATACATGCATAGTAGCTGTGTGAGTTTTATGCTCTTCTGGTGTGCAGGTTTTGTTGCTATCACTTTCATAAATCTATCAATATTATACGTATAGACGTCATTTGGTTGGAGGCGGATATATTTGCAGGCATCTACCCAACTTATTCGAAATTAACACAATACACTTTTCCAAAAAACAGAAATTGCTCAAATTCTTTCAATACTTTAAATTGTGTTCAAATTTTGAACTTAAAAAGCAATCGCTATTAATGTTCGCGTATGTATGAGCGCAGAAGAATATCTGTGTGACGGCAAACCCGAGGTACAGAGCACGAGCGGCAAATAATAACGATCCGCTAACAAACAACGACCAAGCTAATAAATGAATAAATGAATACTGAACACGACTGAACAATGAAGAGCACTGCATGAGTTGTTTTGAAGTTGGCAACACACTAACACAATTGTAGCATAGTTAGTTCAAAACACACAGATACTAATCGAGAGAGATTCAAATTCACCTCTCGATAGGGAATTGTTGCCACATGATGGAAACTCCATAATAACCGGGAATTACAATGATTACCCAAGGCCCATTTATTAGGTCGTGTAAAGGGCGAATTGTCTTAAAATCAGCTGTTTTACTTCCTCGAACTGTCAAAATTTCTTCTGAAGCGAATATAAATGCGCCATTGTTTATCTTTTTTGTGGCAAATTTGTAAACATATACGAGGAAAAAACAAAATAAATCATACGAAACAAAGCACACGAGCATAGTAATAAAATTAAACAGAAGGCAAGACGTTTCAATGAAAATACTTTTGGCAATTTGTACTCCTTTTTGACCTTGCGTCTTCGTACTTTGGAATGGAGAAAAAAATCGCATTTGCAGTCAAGCAGAAGCAGAATAGAATTAGGTGTGTCTGGTTATCGTAAATTTTTTAACAATTGTTACTTTTAACACAAAAGTTATGCAAAAGAGAGTTACTCGAGAGAGGAATTTTGACAGTGCTTTCACTGAGTGTTTGCAAATTCTTTCTGGACAAATATCTTCTTGCAATCATTTGCTATTCTTCTACTTCCGGTGATTTATGTTTGGGTAAGCACATTTAAATAAAACCATAATTATTTCGGTATTTCTTCTAAATATTACAACCTCAGATATAAGAAAAAAGATGATAAGCAAAATTCAAAAGTGTTTCCCAGTATGGAATTGTTCGAGAATGGTTTTTCGAATGGAAAAACTGAAAATTTCGAAAAAAACTATTGGCAGAAATTGCATAAATACGCCATCAAAAATTTGAATAATTCACAAATTATTGTCATTTTTCTCTTTTTGTATTTTTTTTTTTTTTTTAATATCGAATGAACATTTTTAAATTTGACTTTCAATATTGAATTGTACATTTTGTAAATAGTTTAGAGAACTCTATTTAATTTGAAGATTAAAACGTTCTTAAAAATAGATGTAGAAAAGAAAGAAAATGCCTTTAAATAAATATGAATTGTAAACTATTTATATATTTCATAAACAATTATCCGCACATTTTCTCACTCATAAATTCCGGTCATCAAATGGAGAAGACATTCTACTTGAACTTTGGGAAAATATGGGCAAGGTTCGAAGATCCAGAAAAAATGTCCATGCATATGGCGTTATTGTTGCTGGAATGGCATCTCAGGGATATATATACACGTGCGTATTTAAGTTTCTGTAGGACTTTCTTCATAATATAAATAAAAAGCGCGTAAACAAAAAACCGCCGACTGGCATTTTATATAATTTTAAACTAGTCTAAACAAGTAGGATTTGAAAGTTGGATTAAGAAATCGAGTCGACTTCAAACGACTAGTTTAACTGGGCTATAAATCATCGTTAATTTGTACTAAACACATAAGTCGAGATAATGTCCTTAATCAACGTATAAGAGTATAGTCTGAAGCAAGGTGTATTCAATAAGGTGTAATTGAGAATCATATGGTTTGTAACTTTTTTCATTTTTGTTTGTAAACTAAGTTGTCAACTTCAATTTGAGACATTACCTTTCTTTCAAAATATGTTTTTATTTTATTTATAAATTTAGACTGTTGAACAAAATTAATTCGATTCTCTATTTAATTAACGTGAAAAAATAAAAGTATTGAATTCGAAATGTTGTATGGTTGAAGACCGAATTCGTGCGAATTAAAGTTGATGTCCTCGCTTTGATAAAAGACATACACCCAATGTTTTTCGGACTAATGACTTTCATAAAATTTAAAAATGTAATATTTTCCTAAATAAATAAATACTTCGCCTCTAAATGTGTGTCTTAAAAAGATTTTAATTTTTCATATAATTATTGTTGCATATTATGGTGTTCAAGCGAGATCCCTTTATTATCGCAACTCCTAATGAAATCGCTTTACAAAAAATGTGCTCCTATTGTTTCCTAATAGCCTGGGCATAAAGTTTGGCCGAAAACTTCAAAATACCGAATATCGGACAAGGTTTTTATGTGAGGGATATACTAAGCAATAGATACCCATCTGAAAATATTTTTCCGAAGGCTTCCTTTTCGCAAAATATACGCCAAATTACAGGCAATTTGAGCAAAAACAAACATGATATGATAAAATTTCTTATGTTGCATTTCTTAAAATTTAATCTACTCATTGGCAATTGTTGTACCACTCATAGTTTGGCGGAGGGTATGAAAATAAACAGTTTAATAGAGCGGAGAGATACAACAACCTGATAAAGCTGACCAGACAGATATTCTGGGATGGTTGATATATCGTCAGGGCAGGTATTGCACTTGTGGTTCCCAAGGATGACATTTGATACATATAAAATCGATTAAGGATTAACAAAAATATTTTAAGAATCACTTTGTTTATTAGTTTATTAGTGGAGAACGATGGTAATGTTTACCAGGGGGTAAGGCAGGGAATACCTAGGTTTCGGAAAGAGCCACCAATCCTCATCAGTTCCTTTGTTTTTTGTCTGGGATATTCTCCCCAGAAGTTATTTTAAAAATAACTTCTATGACAAAAAAAAACATTTTTTACCCAAGTGACGAGATCGTAAGCTCAATAGAAGAGTACCCAAAAAATTAAATAAAACTAAAATCCTTTGGAAAGTCTTCTAAATCTTACAACCGCACTTATAACCATTTACATCTTTCTACACTTGTTATGCTTTCATTCAACCTGAACGAAGTAACATAACCATGTAAGTTGGTTTTGTCTGTTACAACAAAAACCCCTTCGTCGACCGTGCCTTGTCTATTAATAGAACAGTGTTCAATATTGAATTGTACATTTTGTAAATAGTTTAGAGAACTCTATTTAATTTGAAGATTAAAACGTTCTTAAAAATAGATGTAGAAAAGAAAGAAAATGCCTTTAAATAAATATGAATTGTAAACTATTTATATATTTCATAAACAATTATCCGCACATTTTCTCACTCATAAATTCCGGTCATCAAATGGAGAAGACATTCTACTTGAACTTTGGGAAAATATGGGCAAGGTTCGAAGATCCAGAAAAAATGTCCATGCATATGGCGTTATTGTTGCTGGAATGGCATCTCAGGGATATATATACACGTGCGTATTTAAGTTTCTGTAGGACTTTCTTCATAATATAAATAAAAAGCGCGTAAACAAAAAACCGCCGACTGGCATTTTATATAATTTTAAACTAGTCTAAACAAGTAGGATTTGAAAGTTGGATTAAGAAATCGAGTCGACTTCAAACGACTAGTTTAACTGGGCTATAAATCATCGTTAATTTGTACTAAACACATAAGTCGAGATAATGTCCTTAATCAACGTATAAGAGTATAGTCTGAAGCAAGGTGTATTCAATAAGGTGTAATTGAGAATCATATGGTTTGTAACTTTTTTCATTTTTGTTTGTAAACTAAGTTGTCAACTTCAATTTGAGACATTACCTTTCTTTCAAAATATGTTTTTATTTTATTTATAAATTTAGACTGTTGAACAAAATTAATTCGATTCTCTATTTAATTAACGTGAAAAAATAAAAGTATTGAATTCGAAATGTTGTATGGTTGAAGACCGAATTCGTGCGAATTAAAGTTGATGTCCTCGCTTTGATAAAAGACATACACCCAATGTTTTTCGGACTAATGACTTTCATAAAATTTAAAAATGTAATATTTTCCTAAATAAATAAATACTTCGCCTCTAAATGTGTGTCTTAAAAAGATTTTAATTTTTCATATAATTATTGTTGCATATTATGGTGTTCAAGCGAGATCCCTTTATTATCGCAACTCCTAATGAAATCGCTTTACAAAAAATGTGCTCCTATTGTTTCCTAATAGCCTGGGCATAAAGTTTGGCCGAAAACTTCAAAATACCGAATATCGGACAAGGTTTTTATGTGAGGGATATACTAAGCAATAGATACCCATCTGAAAATATTTTTCCGAAGGCTTCCTTTTCGCAAAATATACGCCAAATTACAGGCAATTTGAGCAAAAACAAACATGATATGATAAAATTTCTTATGTTGCATTTCTTAAAATTTAATCTACTCATTGGCAATTGTTGTACCACTCATAGTTTGGCGGAGGGTATGAAAATAAACAGTTTAATAGAGCGGAGAGATACAACAACCTGATAAAGCTGACCAGACAGATATTCTGGGATGGTTGATATATCGTCAGGGCAGGTATTGCACTTGTGGTTCCCAAGGATGACATTTGATACATATAAAATCGATTAAGGATTAACAAAAATATTTTAAGAATCACTTTGTTTATTAGTTTATTAGTGGAGAACGATGGTAATGTTTACCAGGGGGTAAGGCAGGGAATACCTAGGTTTCGGAAAGAGCCACCAATCCTCATCAGTTCCTTTGTTTTTTGTCTGGGATATTCTCCCCAGAAGTTATTTTAAAAATAACTTCTATGACAAAATTCAACCTGAACGAAGTAGCATAACCATGTAAGTTGGTTTTGTCTGTTACAACAAAAACCCCTTCGTCGACCGTGCCTTGTCTATTAATAGAACAGTGTTGGCTTGTTTGTTCGGGATACCGTAGTATTTTGTTGTTGCAAAATGGTCAGCTTTATCAGGTTGAATGAAAGCATAACAAGTGTAGAAAGATGTAAATGTTTATAAGTGTGGTTGTAAGATTTAGAAGACTTTCCAAAGGATTTTAGTTTTATTTAATTCTTTGGGTACTCTTCTATTGAGCTTACGATCTCGTCACTTGGGTAAAAAATGTTTTTTTTTGTCATAGAAGTTATTTTTAAAATAACTTCTGGGGAGAATATCCCAGACAAAAAACAAGGGAACTGATGAGGATTGGTGGCTCTTTCCGAAACCTAAGAATTCCCTGCCTTACCCCCTGGTAAACATTACCATCGTTCTCCACTAATAAA